CTCCGGAGACAATAAACGTTTTTGTTTTCGTGGTTATTGTTGGGGAGGGGGCGTTCAGACATTCATAAGATACATTTTGACGTCGTATCTTATGTCATTTTATAGCTCATGCCTTGCTGCACATTTAATCTCGTAGATTCACTCCACTCCTACCCCAACTCTCCGGCGTTCCCAGGTGTTTCTGCATATTTGCGGCTGTGAGATGTCACGTCAAAGGTAATTTTGATTGCCAGTCAGTCAGTCAGCATCTGCCAACAAGTTGCTCAAATCTTCTACCCGACACTCGTAAAACATCTCAACTTGTCCCTCGTTCCTTGAGCTGCTTTTTGTTTTTTGTACTTTTTTAACCTGCCTCCAAATGCGCTTTGCATAATAATCAGTTTGGGATCTTTGGTAACAAAATGGGATGGCCTAAGGTGATTACTTTGGGAGAAAATTGTAGTCAGGGAGTGCTTATAATAAACAGTTTTTAAGAAATAGTGTCATTATCTATAAATATAGATTACAAATAAACAAAACCCTTTAAATATTTGAAAGTTTTGAGTAGTTACATTATCTGTCATTTTATTATTTACAATTGTCTATGGTAATCAATATTTGTTATTAGTTTCTGAATACATAACTAACAAAATTTATTACCGAAAGAAAATCAATTATTTTTATAATACTAGCAAATAAATTGATTTAATACACATATATAAAGTGTCTAGCCTAGAAGCCTTTTAACGGAATTGCATTGTAAATATATTAAATCAAATCAAAATGTGATTATTTAAATCAATATATGTAATTCTTAGGCGTTCCACAATGCAACTTGTTGATAGAATTAAAAATTCAATCTTGGGCTAATGTCTAGCTCCTCAGTCTCTTGACCACTAATGCGAATGGCATTCTCCATAATCCTCCCAAGGCATCTTTATCGCCTCCTCGGCACACAACCAATTTCTACCAGCTCGGGCTTATAAGGCATTCCTGGCACATTGTAGCTTCCAGATCTAATTAGCTTAAAATTCCTGAGGCGGAATTCATCTTCCATAAGGGCAAGCTGCATTAGGATTTTGGTGCTGTAGGCACAAGGACTTTGATGCTGCAGCCCAAAGATAGCCTTTCAATGTGTGTAAGTATATTTTGGGATACTTCTACGGCCGATTGCTCATATAAATAGGCAATAAATGCGAATTTGCCAGAAAGTTTGCTTATCGGTTGCATTTCCCTGCACCCAAAATTGTAATGCTCGATTGTTTCGAGTTCGCTTTGTTTCGGGGCACATGTAAATATATGCAGATACGACTCTCAGATACGAGTGTATCTGTTTGAGTTGCCCCCTTGCCACATCCGAATCAATTGATTACGTATTCCGCATTGTTGTGTATTTGTCGCGACAGAATTTCATTTCGTTCTTATGGGACGTTCAGTCGATGTCGATCAAGCGACCCATTGAACCCCCGAACACCGAACACCGAACCCCTTAACCCCTCAGTGGCCCCTGTGCTTCCCCGTGCCCCACCCCTTTCTGCCGCCATTGAACTGTAACGCATTCAGCATTTGTTGCTCTCGTGCATTGTCTATGCAAAATTGTGGCTGCTGCTCATTCTGCGGTGTTCGTTGAACTCACTCGTTGTTCAACTTTTTGGTCACTTGTCGCCCGACATTCGATGTTTGATTTGCCGAATGGAGTTCGGGGTGCCAGAGGGTTAAGGGGCGAAACTGGGCCTCGTTGGCCAATTGTCAAATGCCTAAGAGTTCGCTGGGAATTAGCTGCAAATGAATTGAGTGAGGAAGATATAGAAGACTGAATGTACACAGAGCAAAAGATAAATAAATAATTAAGCGTTAAGAATTAAAGTACTGATCTTTATATCCAAAAAGTAGGAATTCTTAATTATGTACTTTCCCAAATTAAACAAATCTTGTTGATGTTATTGTATTATTGCTAAAAAAAAAGGCTTTCTTTTATTTCCTTAACATAATTAAAGTATTAAGATTTGGAATCATTGTCTCATTTAAAAGTTGTTAAAAAATATATGGGAAATGAGGTCGTCAATTTCATTCGCTAATAGCTCTTTTAACATTTTGAAAACTTATAATTTTTTTTTCGCCTGCTATTAAAGTGTTTTAAATCCGTTTTCTGAAAACACCGACGTACAGGAACAGCTTTATGGACATATTCAATATCAGTACACCAAAATCTATTGGAAAATTATACTTTTGCTTAGTGTAGGACAAGTTTTTGTGAATTTTATACTATAGCTTTACATTTCTCATTATTATCATGAAATTATCATCGTGTTTTAACATTTACAATTCTGTGGCATATGGATAGTCCCTGAATATTCAACCACAGTAACTGCTCATATTCCATATTCCCATTTCTCATTTCCCCCATTTGCATTCAGCCTTTAGAAGCTTCAAGAAACCAGACATTACCTCAGCGTTTGGGGAATTGCAGATTGTGACTGCTGACAGGGGGTTCTTCGTCTTCCTTGTAACTCCCTAACACCAGAAAAAGAGCACCATCCCCATGTTAACCCATCAATTGTCTGCCGTCTAACTCGGCACATGACTTGCATATCTATGCGGTATATGCGAAATGAATTGTTGACTTCGACTTTGCGTCCGACTTTGACTGTGACCAAACAAAGCCAAAGTAAAAGCTTTGATAAATAAGCAGTCAAAAGGGAATCCACCAGCGGACACGAAAAAAAAATAAAGAACAAACGACGGAGAAAACTATAAATAAATAAAGTGCATGTATTCCGAGAACAATTCGATGCAGGCGAGTGTCGAACGGAAAATAATAATTCTATGGCAAGATCTAGTGACTCGGGCGGTACCCAGAAAAGAGCGTGTTAGTCAAAATGGCTGTCAGTCAAAAGTGAAGTGTAACAGCTGGATGGATGTGTGTGAGTATTACATAAGGTTGTGGGTCTCAGAATTTGCGGCAGGGCATTATAAATGTATTTTCTCCCTCTCTCACTTAACGTGTGCAAATGCGTTAACATAAATGTAACACGTTTCGCTGTGGTAACAACAACTGCAACAGCAACTATCCACATGTCACGTAGCTTTTGCATGCCAACGCCAGAGCCGAGAACCCCAAAGACCCTAAAAGTCGTGTGACCCGAGGCAATCCAAGAAACTGTCACATCTCAGAGACCAGACAGGAAACCAGTGGCAAGAGGAGGAGGCAAGGAGCAGCATCAGAAGGTAAAGTCACTTTCCTCTGTGGACTTAACAAAATATTCAAAATTGTATTCAACCTTATGGTGGAGTCTAAAAATAAAAACCTTAAGCCATATCAAATTTATTAAAGTTCCAGTTGCTAGTTGATTGGGCTTTTAGCGATGTTGAGCTAATTAATGAGTCACGAATTGGTTGTTGAAGTTATGCAATATATAAACGAACTTGAATTAATAGAGTCTGGGAAAATGAAATAATAAGAAACAGCAAAGCACTTTGAAATCTTAATGAGAGATTAATGTCTTCGAATTCTGTTTAGAATCTGTATGTTGTTTCCTAATTTATAATATTTTTTTATTCCTTCCTTCAAAACTAAACCAAACACGATAAATAAAGCTATGGAGTCGAAACATTTAATTATGTTAATTTCATAACATTTATTCCTTTGCCTAACCAAAATGAACTGAGTTCCCAAAACCGAAAAAAAACCCAGCCAAGCTGAGAAGAACAAATAGTAAAATCCATCCATGGTTTTTCCCACCCAACCATCCTCCACAACCATCTACCATTTTTTATCCGCTCTTGTAAGGGAGTTCAAAAGTCCCTTGACAAAGCTAAAATTTAATTAGCCGCCCAGCAAGTGGCGTTTGCAAATGAAATTACACAAACACATTCACACACAGGCACGCACACAAAGGGAGCGAATTGCCAGCGTTACATACTCCTCAATCCCTCAACCCCCTCCCCCCCCCCACCCTCACACACACACACACACACACCCACATTGGTTTAACATTTAGCCACTTGGCGCGAAAAGGAAATAAAATACACGACAATCCAACAAAAGCACGGGAAAAAAACACGAAACTTGCATCGAAACATGAAACACTCGCCCCTTTTCACCGCCTTGTTTTCCCCGGAAAAGTGCTCTGTTGGCGCCCCCTAGCGGGCAGTCCGCCCACCCGCTTGGCTTTGTAATCCTCGCGAGCTTCACAATAAACACGAAAATATAATTTGCAACGTTTTTGCAGGCGACGCGCTTCCGCTGCCAAAGCGTAGAAATGCAATGAGTTTTAGACAATAGATGCCACAGTGAACGGTCATTAAAAACGACACGTCGCCAGGAGAAGTGTAATTAATTATTTGCCTACAAAAAATTGCAACCTTTAATGGTGCTATATCAAACATACATTTTTAGCCTTTGGCAGCCTCGTGAATTATTTATCTTTTCAATTGACTTGTAAATAAGGTAAGCTGTCAGATGCGCATGATAAAAATGTCATCGACTAATATCGCTTCTGTTCATCTGATTAAACTTAATAAAATCATTTCGTTTAAATTATATAAAAAGGCAAAATTAACTGGTCAAATTAACGTAAAGCACTTACATTTTATTATTTAAATATAAGCGTTTTTGGTATTAAAAAATATATGATTTGTTTTGATTGAGGTTTTTGCAACATCGTTATTTTTCTCTAGCACTAAGGTTGCTATCTATTAGATGTTTAGCTTCTATAAAAAATTCTATTATTTAAGGAAAAAGGTTTAAATATATAAAAATAGACTTTATAACAAAGAGTAATTATTTTTAAATATTTCAAAAGATAACAAAATTAATAATTTTGATCTGTTCCATTGGAATGTTTGATTAATATACACCAACTTTACAAGACATCACGGTAATGCCACATAAAATAAAAATAATAATAAATAATAATAAAACTAACTTACAGTAAGCGGGTCGGTCTTAAGGAGACCCCACTGTGCTCGGACCGACTGGGCTTAACTGGACGCTGGTCCGTGCAAGTAACACTAATTACCTGGAACTAAATATGGCGCCGGATTCGGTGGCGGCAGCCAATACGTTGCCGTTATCGCCGGATACAACTGATGGCCATTTGTGGCCATGTTTGTGGACATGGCTGACGGGTGGAGAGGGTGGTTCGGGTGGTTTGGGTGGTGCATCGGTGGGGGCGAGTGCTGCTGATGATGTGGCGGCGACGAGTCCGCGGAGGAGCTGCCCGGGCTCATTTTGTTGTAGCGGACGATCAAGTTGTTGTTGTTGTTGTTGCTGACGGGCGGTGGAGATGCTGCATGGGTTTTGGCCGATAGGGGGCGCTGCTCGCTAACGCCGCCATTTCCATTTCCACTTCCGTTTCCGTTGATATTGCTGTTGTTGTTTAAGGAACTGCTGCATTCCATGATATTTGGGTTTTTCATGTTATTTATTGCGCGCTAGATGGCGCCAGCACACACACGAAAAAAAGGTCGAAGGGTTCAAATAATTTTGTCTAGCTAAAACTTTGCTTTGCTTTTTTATGGGCCTCCTGGGCTAAATTAAAAACGAAGGGTAATATTTTATTTGTATTTATTTTAGCAAGGGCTGCCATTAAAATGCCACAATTATTCACTTGTGCATAATTTGAATTTTATTTGCCACACACACACGCGCTTAACTCTTTTTTAGCACAGCGTTTTATGGTCTACCATTTTTGTATAACTAATTAATTTGCCATATTGTCCGGCGAGTGCAGTTTGCCTTTTGCAATAACGCAGTATTTTTTATTGTCGTTCTGTGTTATTTACTTTCAATTTGTTGCACATTACCCATCAACGCACCGAGCGCTAATGGGACGGACATGACCCGCCCGTACGGGTTGTCCATTCGGATGGACCATATTTGTTTTTATTGTTACGATTATTATGGTGATCACATAGCGCAGTTGTTTGATTTTGCATTTAATGTCCGTTAAAAAGCCCCGCAAGCAATACAAAAATCATTGAAAAATTCAAAGCAAATAAACAAAAAAAATTTTAATCCATCCTGCTTTCGCTTAAACAATTTTTATTGCCGTTCATATGGCACTTTGTGGAGAATATCACTATTATTTATTAGGATGTTTACTGCGCTTCATTAAAAATATAAAATAATCGTTTTCAAAAATTTCAATTGCGGGAAACGCTTGGAAAGATATACCTTATATTTCTCAGTACATTTAAATTATTTTGAAATTTGTACCTGTGTCAAAATATGCACAACTCTCCCAACTTAGCACTAAGCCACTCCCATCTGCTGGGCTTTCTACCTTTATGTGTATATAACACCTGTGTGAAGCTCTAATCAGCTTGAGCAGAGTTTGAAAGAGACGAATGTCTGTGTTTATACAATAAATGAGAAGGAACTCACGGTAAATAAGTAACTTGAGACCCAGGCGGGGAGTTTCGAGCTGGAAAACTAAACAAGCCGACAACTGTTCGACACCTAAACATATACGAACAATATGATTGTGAAATTTTGAGCTTATTTATCTAGAAACAACAGAAACTTTGTTTGGCACTGAAACTTCGGATATTCCCCTAGGAAGTTTCCGCTCGCCCGCTATTAATATTGAGTAACATAATTGAGTTTGGGCTTAACATTGTTATGTATGTATCGATTCATCCAAGTTTCAAAATTTTTGAAAGAATTTCCTATTGTTATTTACAAATTGCTTACAAATGACGTTTGGTTTAAGTGTATATGAACAAAAGTATTTATGTTTGAAGTTTAAACAACTCAAACATAAGCTGAAATTTGTGAAATTTTTCTTTGAAATGGGTTACCAATAATGTAAAGAAGTGCTGTTAAGCTCTGCAAATATTTCAATATATAATACTTTTAAAAAATAGGATTTCACGTTGATAGCACAAAAGTGCAATAAGACAATGGCCAATATTGCAGAATTCATATTTTCCCAATTTTCATGTCTTTCAAAGTAAAATTTGTTGAAATACCCTTAAAACTGATTTCCATTTTATTGAAAATTTCATAACTGTTTGAAAAGCTATAAGTTCGAATTGATTTTGTGGCTTTGGGTCGTTTCCGAATTCTGTGAAATTTTCAAATTTCCTTGGAGTACTCGTATTTTCTAATTTGTAGTTTTCCCTGCCCGAATGTGCCCCTCTCCCCTCAACACCTTTACCGACTGTCTATTTTCAATTTCTTCTGACCCAGCTGAAATTGACGTTTGCCAGTCTATTGACAGACTGCCTACAGAAGATGATGATGATGATGATGATGCTGGGGCTGATGTCGAAGCTGATGGCTTCTTGTTTGTACATGGCCAACATATAGACATAAATATGCGTAAATAGACAAGTTTCCCCGCCGCTCGGCCGTTTCCCTCTTCTTGGAATGTAACTCAGAAGAAAGTGCAAATATTGACGAGAGTTTCCATTTTGCAGGTGCCCCAAAGTGGAACAGTCTTCTGTTGATGGTTGCGACATATGCGAAACCAATTGATTCGTCGCCCAAATGGCTATTACTATATATACACGTGGGCCGTTGTGACATTTTCATAATCATTTTGTTAACGCTTCGCTGGACTCCAGACGAATACAAATTGTGCAGTAATTTTTTTTCTAAGTGAGCTGATTAGTCGGCTTGAAGTTTTGAATTTAAACATTTTCTAACCCACTTTTTATAAACTTTATATTATTATCTTGCTGAGCCAAGCGCTTCGAGGTGCAATTTACTTGACAACAAACTTGCTCGCAATTATCACATAAACTTCGCATTTACACTCTGAACTTTGCTTCTGCCACAGCACCTCATGTGGTTTGTTGTTGTTGCCCGATGTTTTTATTGTGGTTGTTGTTATTATTGCTGTTAAATGAAAATATTCAGAGCGGAAAGTTACGCTTTTCCATTATAAGCGGGCCATTCGAAGCATGATAAAATCATATGTGGTGGTTTCTATTTCGAGGAATATCAAAAGTGAATTTGAGGTTCAGAAAACTGTAAGGCGGAAGAGTTTGAGGTATATTTAAGCATAATTGGTTAACAAGTTATGTAATTCTTAATAAAATGGGTAAATTTTCGAAACTTAAAGCTTGCAAGGATCATGACACCATTATGCCTTACTTAAATTTTATAAATATTTCTCTTAAAGGCCACCATAGGTTTTTATTATACACAACTGAACAATTACTATGCCTACTTTTCTACACAGTAAGAAAATCGAACTAAATGAGGATTTTTATAAAGTCTTAATGTTTTTTAGTAGTAGTTGTAGGAGGTCTACTGAATTAAACTTGGCTTAAGGTCAGTGAATATACCTTTAGATAATTTACAGATATAAGCTAAAAACGTGCCTTTCAAAACGCTAAAATGTTTCCAGTTGATTATTATTAAGTACACATTTTTATTGTTTGTGTACATTTTTAAATATTTTTAAATTTGTCGAAAAACGTATTTCAATTTTTTGAGGTTTTGACGAGCCGTTGACATTTTGTATTTAATACGGCCTGCACTCAGGTTTTCTTTTCTGTGGCGTTCGCCTCGTGTGAGGCTCCTCAAAAATGAAAACCAAAAGAAAATTTGACAAGTGACAATTTCCGTATGTTGACTTCGTCTTGAGTGATTATTTTCTGAGGGACAGTTTTCCCCATCCCAATAATTCATTTTCGTTTCAGAAAGCGTTACGTGAAAGAAAAATGGGATTACAATTAGTGGAAATTTGTATTAAAGATGTAACAAACGTGTCGGGACTTTTGATTCTACGTGTTTGCGCATACTTATGTTATGGAGTAGAGATATTTAATCCAGCTTAATGGGATGCTGAGTTAAGGCATAAAGGTTGACCTTGTAGGTGAGAGGTGGCGAAGGGTGCTGGAGGGGCAGAGCTCATCGACAGCCTTCATCCGAGTCTATTTATGGCTGACACACCCAGCTCCAAGCTCACACACTCGAGTCACTCGACCGGAACGCCAATTGGATCGGAAATCGGTTTTTTTTGTCTGTTATATTTGCCAACTAACACTGGCCTTACCCATCCCTTTACCCCATTTTTTCAAAGCCCATCAGCTGTTCTGTATTCAGTGTGAATTGAATTATATTCTACGCGATTACTGAGGCTATTTTCACAGGTAAATAGAGTTGGGCAACAAGTTCACGATATGTACTGGCAGTGGCAAGTGGCTATAGAGGCCATTAATTAATAACATTTTATTCAGACCGCAACAAAAAATGTTCTATTTTAATTTAAGACTGCCTTGGAAATATGTTTTCCCTTTCATTCCCTTACAAGCCATAACCTTTACTCAGTGCCCACTGTACTGTCGACCGAGTCAAGCTAGGATCTTATCGTTCACTAATTATGCAAATGCTATGTGCATTTCAAAGTCTGATTTACACACTCGAAAATGCGCTTAATTTGCGTATTCTTTAAGTTTTTCGATGACTGCAAGTCGCAGAGTATCTCGATCCGAAAGATACCTGGAATTGATCGCTCGTCTTGAACTTTAACTTTGACACGCGCGTGCGCGGCAATTGTAATTTCCGTTTGACTCACGAAACGCTTTTATTGAATTCTCTCCGATTACGGCGACACGTCTCCGATTTGAGAGTATCTGTTAGATACTCGTTGAGAATTTCAGCGATTTGTTTCTGCTATTTTTCGGCGCTGTGTTTTTTCGCAGTCGATCCGAAAACGCGACTGATGTCTGGGCGATTGAGTGACAAACTGCTGGCGACGCTTATTTTTTCGCTGCCGTTTTTGCGCTTCGTTCTGCGGTTTATTTTACTTGATTTTTGTAGTTGTAGTTGTATATGGTATGTACTTTAGCCATTGTGTACTCAGTTCACGATGAGCCGCATGGCGACGTCAAAGCAAAGGCACCAGCAACAGAAGCGAACAGTTCGAATACAAAAAAAAATATCATTATTGCCGCTGCCTTTCGGGTTTGTGTCAAAATGGCAATAAGAACCGCGTGCTGGGGAATACTGTGCCGGGAAAATGGGAAAATTATGAAGATTGAATGGTTTTTAAAGTGCACGCTGAGGGAATTCAATCGAATATTGATGGCCAATAGGTTTTCTTATTACGAGAAATATAAATTACTTATATTATAGAGGTTTATAGAACATAATTAAAGAATATGATTCCTTTAACTGGTTAAGGTTGAATTCAATCTTACTCTTTTAACCTTATAACGATCATCCCCAAGAAATATTATTTGAAAAAAACCGAGCTTCTCAGTCTCCCATTTCTTGGCTAAGCCTGCCATTGCATCTGCTACATGATCGAGTCATATTCCTTATGTACGTTATTTCCATAAATACTCGTATTCCTGGGATGGAACGTCTACCTGAGAGATGCCACAGACCTTGTGTTTATGTTTACTTTCGTTTCGCATTTCAGCAGCCAGCTACAGTCTGGATCATTCAAGGCAGTTGTTTAATTTATCAGTTAACAGCTCAGAGCTAAAAGCTTTAGAAGCGAGATCACAATTCAGCAGAAAATTAGAAACAATTTTGTCAGCTGACTCTTGAAGAGTAATTTTTCGGGCAAATGCAGCTTTTGGAAATTGTAGACTGTTTTTCCCTTCTTATCGCTGAATGAAATTGAAAATTTAATTAAAATCAAAGGGAAAACAAAACCAAACCATATGCCGCAATCATGTGTTGGAATAAGGGGCGTAGGGGCAGTGGCATTATAGAACAATACGCCTCCTAATTACAGACAGAGATACGGATACAGATACAGCCACTGCTGCAGATACAATGCGAAAACACTTGAAACGAACAGACGCACAGGCCATTTTCGATAATTGAAAATAATAATTAAAATTCCCTGATTGAAGGGAGGGTAAAAACGAGAAGGATCGGCCCTGACGTCCACAATTGGAGTGAAAGAATCCCATAAAAGCGGCAACAACTGCAGGGCATACATAATACAATTTGTAACTGTTAGTATGCAAAACATGTCGCCTCGCCCCCTCGCCCCCTCGCTTCACCATTCTTTTGGGTCATAGAGCCCGTTAGCCGTATTTGTCCATCAGAAGTCATCATGGAATTGGTTGTCATTCACTTTGCGCCTCGGCTTTGTTCTCGCAGTCCCCTCCTCAGCCCCATTTCCATAGAATTTATAACCCCTTCAGCCCCTTGGGCGTGCGTGATTTCTTCAATTAATTGTTGTCTCCAAGCACTTTGAACACTGCACAATGTCGTTCTCGACAGCACTTTTTCCCATCATTGTCTACACCTAATTGGAGGTCCGACAAGAACTAGTCGGTCCATTGTGCTAGTGCAACAAAGGTCCATGAAAATATGCATAATTCTAACTCAAACAATGACAATTGCCAAGGTATTGCAATTCATTCTGCAAAGAGCATTGTGCATTATGGATTGCTTAAGAAATATGGTAAATGTTTCAACGGAAACTTATCAATTATGACACAAATGCAGACAACAGAGAAGTAAATTCAACAAGAGTTGGAGTCAAGATTTCCGAAGTACTGGTTTACTTATTCAGGCATTTTATATTTGAATATGACTATAATTCTTTATTGGAGGCACTTAAATATACTATTTCCAAACTAGCCTTATTCAGAACTTGAAAACTGATATAAAAGTATCTGAACTAGTGTTCAAAGTTTCAAAAATATTTTGATATTGTAGAAATAACTTAATTGCTTAATAAGTATCCGGCGTGCAATGATAAAAACAAGATGATTTAAAGTAGCTAACAAGTTTTGTCGGCATGAAAAGTAAGTACTATGGAGCTTTTGAGAGAAACGATTCCCTGAAATAAACTCGCGCTGTATCAATCTTTAAGCTTCATTGCCGTGGTATCCCCGACATCTATAAACCAACTCCATGTGGAGAGTTTCCCCGGCCATTTGTCATCTCCCCGGCTTTCCCATGTATCTTTCTTGATGCCGTTTGCCATTTTGGCTCACAAATCTAGCAATTATTCACATATTTCAATTACCGCTCGTCAAGCGTAAGAAATGTCTTGTGCCACACATGACAAACTGCAGCTGCGAATGCGATTGCAACTGCAACTGCAATTGCAACACAGAATGCAACGCACTTTCCACACGCAACCAACGAAATTTCTCCAATTTCAGTGCCTGGCATTCTTCGCATACTCGATCGCAAACGGCACGCAATCGCTGCCTAGAATCTATAGCCGCTTTTTGAAGATACAAAGATGGAAATGCGAGATGGCCGAAGCAAAACAAACTGCAAACAAAAACAGCAATCAGCTGACTTCAGTTATATAAACAAGCTAATTTCTTTGCGCAAAAATAATAATAATGGAAATGAATTGGAAACTGGTTGCGACCACAGCCGGTTCGCCAGTGAGAGGCCGAGAAACTATGAAGAGAATCTGGGAGAAGCCGGCGGAGAATGACTCAAACTGCAGCCGGGATTATAATTTATTTAGCTGGCTTTGTTTTTGCCCCTTTTGCACTTAATTATTCGTTTGGGAAGTGCTTTGCATATTGTTTTCGTTTTCGATTTCATCGCTTTTCTGTTGTCATTTTGGCCGTGTTTACTTTTTGGCAAATACCAAACCGAATGACAAATCCAATCGACTGAGTTGTGGCCGCTTGTGCCGTTCTGGCATAGGAAATTAATGTTTTAATGGCATTTATTTCGGGCACCCCAACGAAATCGAAATTGAAATATGTCCGAGGTATGCTTGCCCGATATTTTCGGTAGATTTAGCAAAGCTATTAACTTAATGTTGACCAAATTTTGAATAATGGACAACAATCTCTAATTTGACCAAAGAGAAAAAAAGAATGAGTTAGTTTACAGATCTGTGTCAGCTTACAGACATTTTCCAATCGGCTCTTACACTTTCTAAAGAAAATTGCTGTGTGTTAACTTGTTTTGGGTTTTAATCACTGCTCTTAAGCTCCAATAAAAAGACTATATAGTTCTGAGCTTAGACAACCTGCGTTTTATTACAGTTTAAAAAAATGTTCAAATTATTAAGTGCCCCAGGAGAAGGTTTTTTAATTGCTGGTCAAGTGAATATTTAAAATCCTTTTATCTTTTTGCAGAGTTTTTTATTTACTGCTACACATAAAGTTTAAAATTTACAACCCTTGCGAAATGTTAAATAAAAAAAAACCAAATTAAAAAATACAAATTTAAACTAAATTTTTTCTGTTTCATCTGCCTTGGTATTTAAAAAGACATTTTTCAATAATTTAAGTGTATTTCTTTATGCAGTAATTTCCTTTGAACAAATTAACAATTTGTTAGCACACCGCACAGTTGTCATTTCAAAATCGTTTTCTCAATTACCAAATCAACGATGATTAAGTACAATCCACACGTATGAGCGTATATCGAGTCATATATGTGGACGATTCAATCAATTGGCTGTGCCAATAGTTTATCAATATCTGAGAGATATGTGCACAGGGCGAGCGTTTCGTTTCGTTTTTCAATTAAGACTTTGCGGCTGGCGTAGATTTAATTTAAAGAATTTCATTTGCTGCTGACCAACCACAAAGTGCGGGGAAGACACTAAGATACGCAGATACGGAGATCGTGCCGCGAATGAATGACAACTACGGCACGTAACGTATCTATTGGATAGCGGCGCGCGACTGCGACTGCGAATAACGAGTAACGATCCCCGATCGACGATCACCGATCGACTGAAAATTGAAAGCCCGCGGCACTTCGCCCCGCGATCAATTGCGCTGCACTTTGGTGGATACAGAGATACTTTTGCCGCTGGCAATGCCGCTCTTGCCGGCTCTCTCTCTCTCTCCCTCTCTCTCTAAACAGCTGTTGCGGACACTTGTGGCTCGCTCACATGAAAGCCAATTATCCACGCTCGTTGCCTTTGGCTGTTTGTTTATTTATGTTTGCTGGGGAGTCATCAGCGGTTGACAGTTCTCGGTACATATGAGTAGCTCTCTCCCGCTCCGGCGCTTCCCTCTCTCTCTGCGACCGTGTTGCCCTCTCTTTCCGATCGGTGCCGGGTTGACTCAGCGGTTTTCCTGCGAGCGGAACGGATACGACGTGATGAAATCGTGCTTTACTCTGGGTCAAAGGGTTAAATACAAATTTCAATTCTAATATTATATTTATTGAACAAGTGTGAACGCTACCAAATAGTTAGCGTTAAAAGCTTTATATTCAATTTGCCAAATTCCTCAAAATCTTTAAGATTTTAAAATCGCTTGTGGATAAGAAGCTACTAACAAATGTACTGACAAAGAAGAGTATATTATGAATTTCATAATATTTGATTAGTTGAGCTTTAATAAAGCGAATGCGAAATAAACTTAAAAAAACAAGAAAGGAAGCAAAGTTCGGCAATAAATGTTTAGCCCAAAAATGGGGCCCCAGTTTGTAATGGGACAGTAAAAACTAATAAATACCATACCATTAAAACAGTTTAATTAGATCACATAATTTTTGAATAAAAAAAAACACAACATGAGGAAAAATTAGACAAATTTAATTTTCCCTTATGTGTTGTTTTTTTTGTATCGAACGTTCGCTGAACTGACACTCTGTTTAATTTAAGTTGATCCATTGTGACCAGTTAAATTAGATCACAATATAGATATTTTTAATTTTAAGCATAGAAACAAATATATAATATAAATAGGAATTGATAGTATCCAAGGGTCGATAATTAGCGTAAAAAAAACTTTTTGATTAACTATTGTCAAGGTATTAGTCACTAAATCAAGGAGCCCAAACCGTTTTCTGAGCTAGCGTAAGACAGGGACGATATTTCATCTAAAAATTAAATCTCATTTCATATATTTTTAACTAAAAATGTGACAAGTTTAAATATATTTTATATATAGACAGCGCTTAGCGTATGTAAAATGGTTTATATTTATATTTGAAAAAAAGGCGTGGAAAAGTTCGCCATTTGATTACTAATTCTCTTAAGTTCGCATTGTTTGCAGTTTATTAGTCAAGTGAACAGTACATTATGTATTCATAAATAACTTAAACGATTTACAGCAGCTTTGGCCGCCGTGACATTACATAAATCATTGCACATTTAGCTTAACCCTCTTTCTCACATCTTCCCAAACGAGTTGGCACCACCCCTCCCTCCCTCCGCCCAGACCCCTTTCACGCCTCATGTGCAAACCATCCCGAGATTTAGCAGCAACAACAACCGCCTTTTCTAACACATTTAATGCCAAGTCAACTTTGTGTGCTCACTTGACAAGATCGCGACGACCTAAAAGGTTTCGAGACGCGAGCAATTAACATCAGAGCTACAAAAAATACTGGCCGTATCTGTGTATCTTGCAGATGCCAGGCTGTATCTATGTATCTAAACGGGTGATCACGTCAAGCGGGGAGCGCGAAAATCAATTGAAGAGCGGTTCGGGGCAGCCGACTCAGTGAACATAGAAAAGCGCTTTGTTTTCGCTGCCAGGCCCGCAGAACGCTTAATAATTGAATCGAAAAGTGTGCTAATGTGACCGGCATCTGAGTATCTGGCAGATACCGGGTCACACAGATCTGTGGGCTGAACTGCAAACATGAAAATGCATTCTCGGATCTGAAGATACCGCCATAGGAACATTCATTCTCTACACATTGACCTCCTAAAGAAACTAATAAATGCTTAAGTGACTGTGAAGATAAATTACCTTGTTATTTTTAAAGATTAACTCTTTTTTTTTTATTTACTAGTGTTTATTTTGTATTAAACTTCTGTGACTTGAACTGTTTCTTAACAGCTCTAAACAGACAATTCTTAAGGTTTCTTTTCTTTATATTGAATATACTTATGATTTAAAGCCTTATTCCATTCATAAATGTCATCCAATTTTTTCACAAGTCTAATGGCTTTAATTTATTGTAGGCTATTTATTTTTCTTCCACTAAGATATACCAATTGTGCCTTTTTGATTTCTAAATACACAATTGGTGAAATGAAAATTGATTCGTTGTCGTCGTCTGACAATTCACAAATTATTGAGCCCATTAATCCGAAAATTGTGTTCATAAATAAAATCGTGCAATCGAGTATCTACTTGCATTCGCTTGAATCTCATTAAATTGGGATGATTTTGCATGCGACTAGTTGGCCGAAACGACAAATCGTGGGACGGAGACGGGGCAATCGATGGCCAGAAGTTGGCGGAAAAACCAGCAGCGAAATAAGGCGTCCTAAACAACTCGGCAACTAAGCCAAGCCAAAAGGGCAGGCTAAAAAGGCGGACAGCTACACAGACGACGACAAACGGCAGCTAAAAGTATTTAGAATTTCTGGCATTTTGTCAAGTGTCGCCAAAACATTTCGCACAACACGCACCATGGTAGAGAGAGTGAGAGATAGGGACAGTGAAAGAGAGAGTTATATAGAAAGAGAGAGAGAGGTCCATATTTGTGTGTACTACAGCGAATCTTGCACTTGTTGCATTCTGCGAAATTTGTGTGGCATTTGAAAATGTTTGGCATTTGTTCTTGTTAATACACTATCAGAAAACAATATATTAATTTAATGGAGACATTTTTTAATACTTGGGCTTCGATAAACTTAATTACGCCTAAACTTATATTTATTTTTTAAATTTTATAAATTTTTAATTGCTAAAGATGACATTAGAAACATTAGGTTGACTTTGATATAACCCTAAGTTTATGTAAGTTGTTTTAATAAAATTATTAAATCATTCGCTATGTAAATCATTTTAGCTTTTAGATGTTCTTCACTTTATTTAAGTGAATAATAACTAACCGTCTTTGTTTTACAATTAGTCTATTTATCTCAAGCTTATTTTGAACACATTCTCGTTTCTCTATCGCTAGCTGTAGCAATTAATTTTTGAGTGCATTTTGAGATGTGTTTAACGAAACGGACACTGCCCGCTAAATTAAATATTGGACAAATTTTTTGTTGTATTCGCACATTCGACCATTTATCTTAATTTTAGTGACGATATTTGTTAATCTTTCGTGTATTAAACGATGAAACGAAAAGGAAACCCAAGAGAACTGCGAGAGAGATTCTTGCTCAGATGAGTGCCAATTTTTAGTTAATTTACCATAAAATTTCCGTGTTACGTATTTTTAATTTTGTGATTTATTTTTGTCACGCGTACACACTTGACGCAATCGGACGCAATCGAGGAGAAACAAAAGCAGCGGCCAGAATACGCTCAAATGGTTTTTGGATCAGTCGGGGATACAGTGGGCGTCTGGTGGGGAAAAGTGCTCTTTGCGAGGTAGTTGGCTCTTGAGCCACTTGTACACAATCGAAAGCAAAGGAAAGCAATTATGTAAGAAGGAGTAGAATGGGGAACACAAAGGGGAACAACAATCGATGGACACCGAGGTGAATGCGAGCGATGCCCTAAACATTTCCGCTGCACTCGAGCAATGCTAAGAACAACAGGAAAATCCAAAGTCACATGCACACACTCTTACACACCTACACACACACACACGTGCTAAAACGGAAGCGGAAACGCAGTGCATATGCGGAGTGCAAGAAGGATTCACACAAGAAGGACATTAGGGACAATCACCTCGCAAATCGTGCGATAGGTTAGAGAAGACAAAACAATTTTCCGATTTGAATTAAAACAGGAGGAATCCAATTGTATAAACTATATAACCTTATATATAAACTAATTTAACATAATTTTCAATATTATAAAGAAAAAAAATGTGTTGCATATACTAATACTTTTACTTTTCAAATTTCTTTTTAACTTGTTTAGGAGAAACCTAAATATTATAAGCATTGCAAAATTAACTTTGCTTGTAAGTTTCATTTTATTCAACATTTTAAAAGTGAGGTAAAATATTATATGTATATCACCCCCACTGAATTCTCTAAAGCGGTCTCTACAAAGAAAGCGTAAGGCATTTTTTTCTAAAAGTAATATTTTATGGCTCAGGGCTGGTATCAACTGTTTTTTACGTTTGTCTAGGAATGACTTCAATGCTTTTTCCCTCTTCTTTTCAGCACATATCCTAATCGATTTATTGGTCTCACACAATCCAACTAATACAGGATTGTAGCCAGT